CTACAAAAAAATGAATGTAGCTCATAAATGGGTTCTCTCTTCTGAGAAGTGTGTTGAGAATACTTTTTTTAAACATTATGAGCGACTGCCAGTTGAATCACTTCTACATTCATGGGTTATTGATCTTGATGATCAGAAAGTGAAGTCATTATTTACAACTGAAGAATGGAATGAAATCTAGTGTGTAGTCAAAAAATTGCAGAGGTTAATTGTACCTTTGCAAATTCTATGATGCGATTTTCAAATATAAGTTGAGGATAATTGGCTTTTTTTTTCAATTTTCTAAAACCTGATATATTGCCAATTTCAGGTTAACATAATAAGCGATCTGAGACGAGTCTTAAAGATAACATCTTTCTAAATGAGAATGAACTTTATGATCAGTTAAAACATTATGATGCTGAATGGGCCAAAATCGTAATGAGGAAGTTATGAGTATTTACCTCTTTATCAGTGATATTGTTACAAAGATTTAATGACATATATTCCATTTACTACAAGTCTTACGTATTATGAAGACCCTAATAAAATACTGCAAAAGCAATATCTCAAAGCCTGATATGATATAAATGTGTGATCGCTTATTATCGATCATAGTCTCAATGATATGATTGGAATAGAAACCGTAAGGTATAATCTCCTTGATTGTCATAATTATTTAGTTACATTTTTTAACTTTATGGCTTATTTTTTCACAGAAAAAAATCATCAAGTGTAGCAGTAGCCACGAGGAAAAACAGAAAGAGAGTATGTATGCATTACAAAAAGCCAGAACGTAGAAGAATGGGTTATCAAATAGATAGAATATTTTGGATGTACATTGGTGACGTTGAGTATGGAGTAATTGAAGTGGGCAAAAAGTTTGATGAAACAAAACTATTGAATGACAGGTTTAAACTGGTGAAGACTATGCACGATATCTTCATATATCTAAGTAAAGAAGCCTATTTTGAAGAAACAAAAGTAAGGCAACTTCAAGTCACTGACATGCTTCATATAGGTAAGTAAATAAATGAATCTACAGTTTTTAATATTTTGTCAAAATAACTGATTTAATTTGAGTAGGCCTTAAATTGCAAGTCTTACGAATGAGTAGTTTCAAAGGGTATATGATAATATTAAAATGAGAGAAATTCCTTGATATGCCAGCTATAGTTGAAAGAATAAAGGGTCTTATTAGGGTGTTGGCTAATATGTGGAAAATGAAAGTATGATTTATTTTCTGTATTTGTTAGCTTCATCATAGAAATCACTATTGCTCATTATCTTCTATTTATAATAGAAAATGATCATGGAGTGCATAGAGATAGTGAATACAAGAACCTAAGATCAAGCAGATTTTTGCGAGAAATAATGGACACAGATACTCCACCAATTACAATTGTTATTCCATGGTCTATTGATATGAAATGACAAAATTATAATGAAATCGATCAAAAAAATTAGACGATATTTTTTGCCGTCACAGGAAATTCTTTCTTCAACGAAAATATCACGCTTGCCATGCTTTTTTTAAGGTTCTTTTCTTACTTTATTTAATTTTACTTGGAAAATATTTAGAATCAATTTATTAGTAATTTCGGGATTCTTGCTGATAATAAAACTTTACTATACTAATGTGACATTACAAATTACATACTATAATAAATTCAAATTTTTTCTTAGCAAAGTGATCTGCATTTCAAATTAGAACGGAAGATGCATGTGTTTTTATTATTTTATTTAATGGCTTAGATCTGAAAAATATATAGTGATGATACGTCTAATTTTCTTGTTAATGATAAAATTTGTGAGTATTTTCTGGATCAAGATAAAACTTCAGAGGCTAATTTTAGAAAAAGGAAGGAAAAGGTAATAAAGATCTTTAAACTTTTTGATGGGTTGGAGGGATGGATAAGATAAATTGTATTAAGTCTTTTTCTGCATCGACTATTTTGAGGTTAGGCGTGAAGGATATTGACTACGTAATAGCTGAAGTTTTAAAAGTGGGTCAGTAAAATTTACTGTGCATTTTTTACTCAAGTGTGAACATATATTCATAGCTATCAAAATTTTTTCAGATTTTAAATAAGCTAAATTTACTCATATGTGATCGCCTGTTCACATTTACTGAAGTTTTTCCATTTTAATATTTTCTAGACATGTGTGGTTATCATTTCAC